CTGTATACAGCTTCTGAAAACTGAAATAATTCATTTGGGACTGCTGCACCACAACAAACCGCGACTCTTAAAGCAAAGTTACGGGCATGATCGTAATGCATTTTATACTAAAACATGGCACAATGCCATGCATTAAAAATAATGTGATTTTGCATTTTAAATCATTTTATTCAAAAACTAAAACTTTTTAGAGTTTCAATTGTCAAATATTAATAAAGTACCAGTGGCCCCGCAGTAGTCGAAATTCGACTATAATTAATTGAAATTTTCTTTATAAACATTATTCTGGTTCTATTGTCAAACACTGTTAGACTTCTTTAATATAATTACAGATTTTGCCAAAACTACACTATAGATAAATAGTATTAAAGACAAACAATATTAATTAATTCTCAATTTGACCACATACTTTGAACAATAACAAAAGTTTGACAATAAACGCAGAGTATATGTGTGTGTATGTGTATGTGTGTTGTGTCAAATATGTCAATAGTGTGTGTAATGTTTTTTATGATTTAATGACTTTTTATGCATAATAAAAAAAAAAATAACATTCTGCACTCCTTCTCTATATTCTCTATAAGTGTGGGAAATTTGATACTCCTCCGTCCGCGCAATTTTTGTAAAAAGGAATACAAAAGTTTTTGCTTCACGTATTAATATATAGATTCTTATAGTAGTAGACTTCGGTTGAATAGGAAGTTGCTTGTGATTTAAAGGATAAGACAACTGAGGTACTAGAATCGAGCGATGCCTCTATATCGGTAATCATATTCCGGAAGTACGTACAAACTTAAATATGTAGGCAACTCATGTTCACGCGTAATTTCAACGATGAATGAATTATTAAAGGATAGCTTTTGCCCGTGACTACGTCACCGTGGAATAGTTCACAAATAATGCTTTATTTTAGAACAAATTTGGTTAGCATAAAAAACGTTATACTGAGCTAACCTTAATATATAGACATATGATGTCGCGGACTTTTTTTTAGATCTTTTAAAGGGGAACAATTCTCCCATACATTGCTTTAGCGAAACTTTAACCGTTTCCGCAGCGCACGCAGTGGAAGTTCTCAAAAGGGATTAAAACCCCGATTTTGAAACATTCTTTATTGATGCTCTGCTTCTATTGATTTTGGCGTGATGTTATATAGCCAATATCCTTTCTCGATAAATGGGCTATCTAACACTGAAAGAATTTTTCAAATCGGACCATTAGTTCCTGAGATTAGCGCGTTCAAACAAACAAACTCTTCAGCTTTATAATATTAGTATAGATGTATTAAAAATCAAATACACAAAAAATATTAATTTGCATAATTGAGACATAGACCTCAGGTCTCAAGACTCAGTACCGACTTCACACTAGATGGTCTGTGAGCTAATTCATCGGCCAGAACAATAAAAAAAATATGTTTTTTATGTTTGTTTATGTTTTTCAAATGTCACGGAATTTTCGTATGCTTATTAGTAATTTGTTGTGATTGTAAAATCATCACAAATATTCATGAACTTCGAAGAAATTTACAAAAATAGAATTATGATGTTTAGAGGTAAGTTTTTGTCGATTCGCTTCACGTGTTTTTGTTTTCACCCAAAACAGGCGAAGCGTACGGTAGGAATGGTCAAAAGTTGTCCGCCACTTCGACAGTTCGACACAGCCAAATACCAATTAAAAGTTTATGATTTGAGGCTTCAATTATTTTACAGTTTTTCTCACTATAGTAGCAGCCGAAGTTTCGGAACAAAACTATTTTTTGTCAAAACAATAAAGAAAAGGCTCACGAGTCAGAATAACCTGAAACAAAATTTCGTTACAAATCGGAAAAGTGATTTTACATCGACGCGATTAATACCTCATGTCTAAAGAATTTAGCATTCACGTTATGATATCTATGAGCTCCGGTAACCTCTTAGTACCTACTTACTAGGTAAGCTGTGAATACAACTGCTTATCTACAGCATTCAACCATCCAGCCGTCATTAAAACGTCGAAGAATTAATTAAAATTATTACGTTGTCGTAATCTCAGATATGAATGCAAATCGCGGCAGCTTACTCAATCCTTTAAGCATATGTATTATATGTATGAGCGGGAAACGCATAATGTGGCGTTGGCATTAATTACGACTTCCGATGGCGATCGCCTTGCTATCGCATACCTGTTTATGGCACCGCGCGCGGGTACGATTCGTCATTGCCAAGTCGAGTTATCAAGCCCATTATATCACACGAGTCCACACGTATCGTGTGTACGGTGAAAATTGCTAGTTTCAAATATCAAATACGCATTTATTAATTTTGTTTAAAACTTGGTCTAAAATGTGTGTGGTCTATTTAAATCGGCTAGCAACCAAATATAATTAGAAACCATTGCGATGATATATATAACGTTAATTAAAATATAGAAAAACTGAGTTATTTTTAAGCCATAAGAAAGGCAATTGTTAAGTAAGGATCTATGTAGATAATTTGTATAATATATAGATATCCCGGTAATTTTTGCATTAAGTGACCTCAGCGCCCTCTAGCTACTACTACTACTACATAACTCACTACTACATACTTCCTATATTACCTTCCCAAAAAAATTCTGTCCGCTACCCACGGACACAGCCCACTGAGTTTCTCGCCGCATCTTCTCAGTGGATCGCGTTTCCGATCCGGTGGTAGATTCTACGAAGCACGGCTCTTGCTAGGGTTCGTGTTAGCAACGTCGTCAGGTTTGAGCTCCGTGAGCTCACCTATTAGTTAAGGTTACGCTGAAATAGCCTCTCAAAGCTATCAGCTTAGGTAGGAAAAAAAAAACAAAAAAACCTGTCCGCCGATACTAATATCCATCGTTATTGCAAGTTCGCCAGTGCAAATCGGAATTAGTAGTGAACACTGGACATCCTACTTATTTCTGCTGTTCGTTAAAATATGGTGTCAGTTGCTGCCTATTTATTAAGTACGTGTTACAATACAATTTTTTTTCATTGCTTAGATGGGTGGACTAGCTCACAGCCCACCTGGTGTTAAGTGTTTACTGGAGCCCATAGATATCTCGACGAAAATGCGTCACCCACCTTGAAATATAAGTTCTAAGGTCTCAAGTATAGTTACAACGGCTACCCCACCCTTTAAACCGAAACGCATTACTGCTTCACGGCAGAAATGGGCAGGGTGGTGGTACCTACCCACATAGACTCACAAGAGGTCCTACCACCAGTAAGACATTCGACATTTTCACATTATACTTCAAAGTGTTATCATCGAAATTTTGTAGTACATTGACACGCCGTATTTTCAATTTAATGTATACTTCGATTATAAAATGCAAAAATTACCACTTCGATAAAGCGGCACGACACGAGAACCCTCTCATCGTGGCCGCCGGTAACTACATTCCCGATCCTGCGGAAAGAATGGAAAGCAGTCGACGTCGCCCAAAACACGTCATCTCGGATCCTCCTGATCCACTAACGGTGCTTCTAGGTACTTCAAGCACCGGTCACCGTTCTCGTCGAACCCGTCGCTTGCGACGAAGGGCTCGACGAGTAAATTAACTCTCAGACACAGCCCACTGAGTTTCTCGCCGGATCTTCTCAGTGGGTCGCGTTTCCGATCCGGTGGTAGATTCTGCGAAGCACGGCTCTTGCTAGGGTTCGTGTTAGCAACGTCATCAGGTTTGAGCCCCGTGAGCTCACCTACAAAAGTTAGGGTTACGCTGAAATAGCCTCTCAAGGCTCTCAGCATAGGTACGAAAAAAAAAAAAAAAGGAAAAATTATTTTATCTGTTTCTCACACTTTCAGGTTTTAATCACTCAAAGGAACGCTATGAATGTTATTTGAATTGAAATGAACGTTATTCGTATACATTCTGTCAGGGGTACAGAAAAGATCATAGAGTAGTTTTCATATAAGCGAATGTACTATTCCCAAATGATTAGATTATTTACTAACATAGAACTGGACGATCTGTATCGTATTTTATGTTCATTTTCTGATTAGTAGTTAATAACTTTAGGCTTACAGCGCTGTTTTTACGAAGGTCGTTTAGCCGGATCACGATTGCTTGTGATCACACAGATATCTAATTGAGCGGTTCCATAATTGATAGTCAATAAATACAATTGAGTGCAGTCATATTTTTCTTATAATTTGTTGTTGCGTATACAGGTCGTCTATATTATTTTTCATCAATATTTATATACCCAAGTTTAACTTAGTCTCTTTAAAACATAGCACACGTAACTGACCCTAACTCTCTCATATTTAAGATAGCGTTCGACTATTCCTGTGGTGCGCTGCATTCTGAATGTTATGAATAAAAATGCGAAAATATTTCAACACCTTTGTGTACAGTGCGACGGCTATAATACCGAAATTTATGTGCGTCGGCATGAGGTATTTTGTTTACTTTTTTTTAATATTACAATTTTACATATTATAAAATATCTGTACAGCTTGTTTACGTCTGTATATATTAAAAGGAATCCAACTGCGTTTCTTTTCCTTACATTTTAAGCATCGGATATCATTCCAATAGTGCACACGGCCATGCTACACAAAAGTACTTTATTACGCTTTAAAGAAAATATAGTTTTATTAAACTACTGCAGACTTCCTGACATGTCATTGTATGCGTATTCTTAGTTTGATGACGTCACCAGCACACGCATCGCACTGGGAAGTGTCGCCTACGTTACTCAAACAGCGCAGGCACATACTGAGACCCACGCACTTAACTTGCGTGGCTTCTGTCCATCCTACGCTAGAATGAATAGGCAGTTTTACTGAAACGTTGTTACAAAAAAGTTGACGACGTCTTCCGGTAAACGTTTTTAGCTATTGTAGCTGCGGTGTACTTGTACGAAAGCCAAGTTACACCTGCCATATTACATCTGCAATGTTTCGAAATATTTTTTGGGATAACCGAACTTCATGAATAAGAACTTCAAACCATTGCAGTTAATGTAAACAAAAACCTAATTTTCTTTGGGTTTTTTTTTTCAGAGACTTCACCGCGAATGAAATAGAGGATTCTAGTGGATTATTCAACACGATGAGGAGCAAGGATTTCGTGTGGACAGGAAAAAGAAGTAGCAGGTGGCAACACTGGATACTGCGTTGAAACAAAATGGCTGCAGGTGCGCAGGCGATGGGTGGTGGACCACTCGCGCGCCTTTTAATCTTGGCAATCCTACATGTTAACTTTGTAGGTAAGTATTTAGAAGTACATTATTAGAAGTATTTATTATAAATAAATAGACTCCCAGTAGTCGAAATTCGACTTTATTTAATTGAAATTATATGTTTTACTGGTGGTAGGACCTCTTGTGAGTCCGCGCGGGTGGGTACCACCACCCTGCCTATTTCTGCCGTGAAGCAGTAATGCGTTTTGGTTTGAAGGGTGGGGCAGCCGTTGTAACTATAGTTGAACCTTAGAACTTATATCTCAAGGTGGGTGGCGCATTTACGTTGTGGATGTCTATGGGCTCCAGTAACCACTTAACACCAGGTGGGCTGTGAGCTCGTCCACCCATCTAAGCAATAAAAAAAATATGTTTGAACATTATAATGATTCTAAAATCAAAGACTATATTATACTTCTATAATCACATATTTCGCCAAGACTACACTATAGACAAATAATATTAAAGACAAAAAATAATAATTTATTCTCAATTTAACCGCAGACTTTAAACAATTACAAAAGTTTGATAATAAGCATAATACATGGTACTGTGTGTAATGTTTTTTAGGGATACAAAGCTTTTGCTTCACGTATAAATACTTAAATTTAGAAGTTTTCTTAAAAGTCTTATTAAAACATTATAATAATATTTATTACACATCTCCCGGACACATGAAACTTCGAGTTTCAAATAGTTATTTTTTGTGATGAGTGCCAGAAATATGCAAGAGTACAAGATAATAATGATTACCCCTAAGCCTGGATACCTATAGCTTGATATTATTTTATTAAATATCTTTAAATCTTATCTTTATGTTATCCTTATCATTTACTGGTGGTAGGACCTCTTGTGAGTTCGCACGGGTAGGTACCACCGCTCTACCTATTTCTGCCGTGAAGCAGTGCGTTTCGGTTTGGAGGGTAACGGTAACTATACTGAGATCTTAGAACTTATATCTCAAGGTGGGTTGCGCATTTACGTTGTTGATGTCTATGGGCTCCAGTAACCACTCAACACCAGGTGGGCTGTGAGTTCGTCCACCCATCGAAGCAATAAAAAAAAATCTTAAAAAAAAAAACTGTTCGGTTATCAAACTTGAAGCTCTGGTTATGGTCAAGGTCATAAAGTTCGTGTACTTTTAAATCGCGTTTAAGTTACCGCACCTAATTTGAATACGGAATTCTTAGTGTAAAATCGATCAAATTTCAGCGTCTGCTTGGAGCAGCCGTCAAATATATTTTTTTCTTTACGATAGAATTTCTAAACGAACCTTTAACGAGAAAAGTTCACGTAACTCTTTAGTTAAACACCAAAATGAGTATTCTCCGAATCTTGTATAATTAGGTGTATTTATGAAACCTTTAATGGAAACCTCATTACGGTTTGGTTCAAACTAATTAGCATAATATTATAATTAATTATATCATTAATTTGTTAATACATATTATTGTTTAATTTGTAATGAAATTTTATCAAATAAATGTAAAATATCTGTTTGTGTAGGATACTGTGTGGGTTCTCATCAAAATTAGACTCAACATTGAATGGTAAAGTAGCTGTCCTATTAATGGAGATTGACTAGATTAAAGTTAAACAACCTTAGCTGATTTACCTGAGAGGTTTACTTCGATTGACATTCTCAATAGCACATATAACTTATTACATAAATAAGCATGTTATATAATACTATATTTTTATAAAGTATAATATAAATAATAATATTTTAATACATCATCATCATCATCATCATCAGCCTTTATCTGCCCACTGCTGGACATAGGCCTTCCCCAATGCCTTCCACATAATGCGGTCCTCCGCCTTCCGCATCCAACGACTTCGATTTTAATACATAAAATACTTTTAATATAAAAAAAAAAAACATAGAAAAAATATGAATTGTTTTAAGTACCATTTTTTGTTGCATTGCAATTGAAACTTACAAAAGAATTAAATAAAAAAGGAAACTAAGCACACGGGCATCTAGGCTCGAAATAGGATTCGCCATACTATAGGAACCACAGATTGATTATACTTAAATGTATAGTTTAAACATAATATGTATATACCATATAATATATAATACATACCCAGATAATAATATGTAAAGAAAATTAAATAAACTAACCTGTTCATCACAGGAATTAGGAAGGGGAATCGAACCCACGATCCTCAGTATAGAGGCTAATGGCAATACCAATACCACTGTGTCATCAGATCGCTATTAATTACATATGTGTATCTCAGGGCTAGCACTGATACGCAATTTGTGGTGTTAATAGATTCTAGAACATATCGCTTTCTTGAGCTTATCGACCTATCATAGCTCCCCTTCAATTCGGATTTCTGACAGTCGTGTCCAGAAGTCTTATAGTGGTGCGTAATCGTCCCCCACCCTCTCTGACATGCAACGTGTCGCATAAATATGTGTCGATTGTATCATAGTTAATCAGTAAGTACATATCATAATATCAATAGTTCAAGTTCAATCAAAAGTGGTCGTAACCTAACGAGCAAAACGCCCGGTTTGTTTAGATAGAGCGAGGCGGCTATGTCGACGCTCAAATGCCGTAATTTTATTAATAAAATACGTAAGTACTTAGCACGTATTCACAATTGAATTCCACGATGAAATAAGATGTTATAATAAAAATCAAACTCGCTAAAAATTTAACTTGCGTCTTTCTGGGTAGTAAAGCGTATGGTAGATTTCGGGTAAGCACCACCACCCGGCCTATTTCTGCTGCGAAACATTCAGATGATTTGAGTTATTGGGACAAGCGTTCAGATATACTTAAATTGCTCTTAAACACATGTATCATATTCTAAATGTAGCTATCTACTGGTGGTAGGACCTCTTGTGAGTCTGGACGGGTAGGTACCACCGCCTTGCCTATTTCTGCCGTGAAGCAGTAATGCGTTTCGGTTTGAAGGGTGGGGCAGCCGTAGTAACTATACTGAGACCTTAGAACTTATATCTCAAGGTGGGTGGCGCATTTACATTGTAGATGTCTATGGGCTCCAGTAACCACTTAACATCAGGTGGGCTGTGAGCTCGTCCACCCATCTAAGCAATTAAAAAAAAAGCTCTTGCAAAATCGACCCGCAGCAGAACTCTGCCCGTAATTACGCTGCGCCAGACGTATTGCCTTTCCAGCCTTCCGCACTTTACATTCCAACTACATCAATTTATTGAGATTAAAATATTTAGTCGGATATTCGTGAGAGATTAAATTTTGACGAAGTTGTATGTGACAGTGCCTTAACGCTTCGCCGTACATTTACGACATTCGCGCGGTCTGTGTCCAGGGGTGGTTTTGTTTCGTACTCTCATTTCACAAAGTGCAAGCTTTCATAGCGTTTGCGTAAACAGCTTTTCACGACAACAAACTATTTTAGACTACTTTAAATTCCCTGAATCATTCGAGCTGATTTATTAATAGCCGTAATGTACTTCGACTGACCACATAAGAATGTAGTTGCGTCGTTTGGGAATTAGGTGTATTCTTTTTTTTTTTTGGATTGGCTAACAGATATTTGAACATCTCCAAAGAAGCCCTAACAACTCAAGGTCAGCCGCTCCGCAAATGCATCTACCACGAAAACGTCAGCGCACTGATGTTGTAACTTAGGTTTCAGGTCGAACTCTTCGACGAGTTTGACGAGTACAGTTACCAGAGTCCCTACATGCATGCGCTCATAGCCTTGGAGCTGCAGATATCCAATAGCTGATTTAGTATTTTATTTTATTTATTGGGTAGCCGGCTCCTTCCCAATGTCGGGGGGCCTGACCAGGTGACGCGCCGTCTCTATACAGGGGTGGTGCGATCAATGGCCCTATACGGGGCGCCCGTGTGGGGCCAGTCCCTGGCCGTGGGGGTAGCGAAGCTGCTGCAACGGGCGCAACGCACCATCGCGGTCAGGGTCATCCGTGGTTATCGCACCATCTCTTTCGAGGCGGCGTGTGTACTGGCTGGGACGCCGCCTTGGGTCCTGGAGGCGGAGGCGCTCGCTGCTGACTATCAGTGGCGGGCTGACCTTCGTGTCCGGGGCGTGGCGCGTCCCAGCCACAGTGTGGTCAGAGCGCGGAAGGCCCAATCTCGGCGGTCCGTGCTGGAGTCATGGTCCAGACGGCTGGCCGATCCTTCGGCTGGTCGTAGGACCGTCGAGGCGATTCGCCCGGTTCTTGTGAACTGGGTGAATCGTGACAGAGGACGCCTCACTTTCCGGCTCACGCAGGTGCTCACTGGGCATGGTTGCTTCGGTGAGTTCCTGCACCGGATCGGACCCGAGCCGACGGCAGAGTGCCACCATTGTGGTTGCGACTTGGACACGGCGGAGCACACGCTCGTCGCCTGCCCCGCATGGGAGGGGTGGCGCCGTGTCCTCGTCGCAAAAATAGGAAACGACTTGTCGTTGCCGAGTGTTGTGGCATCGATGCTCGGTGACGACGAGTCGTGGAAGGCGATGCTCGACTTCTGCGAGTGCACCATCTCGNAGCAATTCATTCAGCAACGATAAAAAAATGAGAGCCGGGTTAGAGTAGCGTGGATAACCCTTTCAGGAGTCAAAGCAATGGAATTCTCATTGAAATACAGGATACGAGGATCAAAACAGAGTAGCTCACGTTACGAAAATGCGCGCAAAAAATATCTCGATTATTTTAATCTTCATACTTGTAATTTCATATTAGATTCCAAATAAATTGATTCCTAAATTCTTTAGCAGATTTAAAAGTTAATAAAAAAAATATATAACACAAAAACTTAATTCACAAAGAAAACATTAATTTTTATTTGAATGCTCTTCGCGAGCTTTTTAAATACAAAGGTCCCGGAGCTAGCTCGTATCTAGACACTGCAAGCGGAATTGAATTAATCTCGTTGTAAAATTTTCAGTTGCCACCTTATCTTCCGTCGTATTGTCGTTTTATTATGCCTACCCTGGAACCATTAGCGAAAATGTCACAGCGAAAGCATTGTAATCGCGGCCGCGGTTCGCCCGCACAATGATGTACCCATTCGACC